GTCTAGGTTATCTGATTCAGATTTATATTGGGTTCCATCAATTTGCCTGCAAATTTAATGATGTCCTTGGTTTGAATAGATGAGTAGTATTCTATTGTGTCAATGAACCACATTTTCTTTATCTATTCTTTTGTTGAGAGACATCAAGGTTGATTCCAGTTTCTTACTATTACGAGTAAAGCTGCTATGAACGTAATGGAGAAAGTGTTCTTGTGGTATGATGGAGCATCCTTTGAGTATATTCCCAGGAGTGGTTTAGCTATGTCTTCTGGTAGAACTATTTCCAGTTTTTGAGAATGCAACAGATTGATTTCCAGAGTGGTAAATGAAGCTCACACTCCCACCAGCAGTGCAGGAGTGTTCCTCTTGCTCCACATCCTCACCAGCATGTGCTGTCCCTTTAGTTTTTTTATCTTAGCCATTCTGATATGCCTAAGGTCAAATCTTAGAGTTGTTTTGATTTATATTTCCCTGATGACTAAGGACTTTGAACATTTCTTTAAGCATTTCTTGGCCATTCAACATTCATCTGTAGAGAATTCTCTGCTCAGCTCTATATACCATTATTTAAAAGAGTTATTATATATTTTGGATATTAGGCCTCTGTCAAATGGAGGGTTAAGGGTAGGAAAAGATACTTTTCCAATCTGTAGGCTGCCATTTTGTCCAGTTCACAGTGTCCTTTGCTTTACAGAAAAGCTTTTTCATTTCATGAAGTTCCATTCATTAAATGTTGATCTTAGAGCCTAAGCCATGGGTGTTCTATTCAGGAAGTTGTCCCCTATATCAATGCATTCAAGGCTATTTTCCACTTTCTCTTCTATTAGATTTTGTGTATCTGGTTTTAGGTTGAAGTCCTTGATCCACTTGGACTTGAGTTTCATGCAGGTTGATAAATGTGGATCTATTTGCATTCTTCTACATGCAGACATCCAGTTAGACCAGCACTGAAGATGCTTTCCCTTTTCCATTTTATGTTTGTGGCTTCTTTGTCAAACATCAAGTGTCCATAGGTGTAGAGGCTCATTTCTGTGTCTTCTGTTCAATTCCATTTATGTTTCTATACCAATACTATGTAGCCTATACTACTCTTATTCTATAGTACAGCTTGAAATCGTGGATGGTAATGCTTCCAGAAGTTCTTTTATTGTAAAGTATTATTTTTAGTACAATAAAAGTTTTTGAGTTTTGTTTTTCGATATGAAGTTGACAATTGTTCATTCAAGGTCTGTGAAAATTTGTGTTGGAATTTTAATGGGAATTGTGTTGAATCAGTAGATTGCATCTGGTAAGATGGCCATTTTCACTATGTTAAACCTACTGATCCATGAGCATAGGAGATCTTTCCATATTCTGATATCTTCTTCAATTTATTTCTTCAGAGACTTGAAGCTCTGGTCATAGAGGTCTTTGACTTGCTTGGTTAGAGCAAGTCAAAGATGTTTTATCAAGTTGTTTTATATTATTCAAGGCTATTATGAAGGTGTTGTTTCCCTGATTTATTTCTCAGCGCCCAATTATTGTTTGTATAAGGAAGGAATAATGATTTTTTTTCAAGTTAATTTTGTATCCAGCTACTTTGCTGAAGGTTTTTAACAGCTGTACATGTTCTTTGGAAAGTTTTGTGGTTCACTTCTGTATAGTATCATATCCTGTTGGAATAGAGATACTTTGAATTCTTTCTTTCCATTTGTATCCACTTGATCTCCATTAGTTGCATTATTTTTGCTAGAATTGCAAGTACTGTGCAGAAGAGATAGGGAGTGAACAGCCTTGCCTTATCCCCGATTTTAGTGGAATTGCTTTCAGTTTCTTTCCATACAATTTGATGTTGGTTATTGGTTTCCTGTATATTACCTTTATTGTGTTGCTGTATGTGCCTTGTATCCCTGATCTCTTCCAGACTTTTAACATGAGAGAGTGTTGGATTTTGTCAAAGCCTTTTTCAGTGTCAAGATGATCGTGTGGATTTTTCATTCAATTTGTTTTTATGGTGATTTATATTGGTGGATTTTTGTATATTGAACCACCCCTGCATCCTTGGAATGAAGCCTACTTGATCATGTTGGATGATGTTTTTACTGTATTTTTCAATTTAGTTTATTGGTAATTTTTTCTTCTTTTTCCCTTTATTTATTTATTTATTTATTTATTTATTTTTACTTAGTTACTTTACATCCTACTCACTTCCCCCATCCTGAATACTCCCTCCCACAGCCTTCCGGAATCCTCCCTCCTCTTCTCTTCTAGAAGGTAAGGACCCTACCAGCACATCAAGTCTCTCTAAGGCTAGGCACATCCTCTCCCAATGAGGCTAGAAAAGGCAACCCAACTAGAAGAATATATCCCACATATAGGCAACAGCTTTTGGAATAACACACACTCCAATTGTTCAGGACCCACATGAAGACCATCTAACAAATACGCTTGCTCAACTATGTTCATAGCAGCTTCATTTTTAATAGCCAGAAACTGGAAACAACTAGATGTCCTGAAGAATAGGCAAAGAAAATGTAGCACATCTACACAATGGAATGCTATTCAATTATTAAAAACAAAGGCATCATGAATGTTGTAGGCAAAGGGATGAATCTTGAAAACAACCCAGACCCAAAAGGACTTGTGTGATATATACTCACTTATAAGTGGCTATTAGCCTTAATATACAGAATGCTCATGCTACACTCCACAAACTTAGATAACCTAAACAAGAAGGAAGGCACAAGCAAGGATACTTGAATCTCACTTAGAAAGGGGAATAAAATAGTCATAAGGGGCAAGTGGAGGAAGAGAACTAGGTGGGAAAGAAGATGGGGAGGGCAGCAGGAGAAAGTTCAGGTTCAGTTATAAGGAGGGAGAGGGTGGATGATCAGATGGTCATGAGAATGAAAGGAAATCTGCAACTTATGGGAGTAGAGAGGTAGAGAGCATCTCTAGGACAAGACAGAGACATTGTATAAAGGAGGCCCTCAAGAATCAGTGGAGGTGTCCTTAGCTGTAACTCACAGCATTGTGGATATGGAACCTGAAAAGGCCACCTCTTGTAACCAGGCAGGAATACCAATGAAGCGATAGGGACACCAAACCATCCACAAAACTGTCAACCCAAAATTTGTCCTGTCTAAAAGAAATGTAGGAACAGGAGATGGAGCAGAGACTGAGGAAATGGCCAAGCAATAACTGGCCGAACTTGAGACCCATGAAATGGACAAGAATTAATCCCAAACACTATTAATGATACTACTTTGTTATGCCTGCAGACAGGGGTCTAGCATGGCTGTCCTCTGAGAGGCTCCACTCAGCAGCTGACTCAGACAAATGCAGACACTCACAGCCAAACAGTGCATGGAGCTTGAGGACTCTTATGTAAGAATAAGATTATGGCCCTTAAGGGGATAGGAACTCCACAAGAAGACCAACAGAACCAACTAATCAAGACTATTGGGGCTCTCAAAGACCAAACCACCAACTAAAGAATGGCTGTTAACTGCCTCTCTTTGTGAACAGATTTGTCAGACCAGAACTTTTCTGTTATTATAGAAAAACAAAGAACAGACAGCCTTTGCTTAAGCAAGGAGCTGTACAGTATTTTTAAAATTTTGAAAAAAGGATAGTGATCTTATGTCAAGTATAAAAGAAATATAGAGGAATGAAAGGAAAAATTAAACAAGGGTCAGAGAAATTGAACTTTTGTAGAAAGCCAACCTTGATACAACAGGTAGTAGGAAATAACTTTTGATTATTAATTCTGTGCCTAACTGAAACAGATCAAATTCAAATAGAGTCATCCTGTTGGCATTTCTATAACCACAAGGGGTTTATGACACCAATCTTAAGGAGGAAGGTATTGAGTTAAAAGAAAATTGATTTTATCATAATATTAATTTTTAGGTCTTAAAGAAATTGCTGGTTGCTCGCTTTGTATCTCTTTCAATATTCTTATGTAATCAAGGAAGACATTTTTAAAAAGTGTATTCTGAATGCTGTGTAATCAATGAATAGTTTCTGAGGAAGTTATTTTATGTATAAATAAAGACTGTGAGAGACACAGGTTGTCAGAGTATGTCAAGCCACACATAGATGTGCTTCCTTTCTGTCCTGTCTCACATGAAACAAAGATGAATGGTGTCCCATGTCTGATCTTCCCTAGCTGCTCTTACATCCACCAGTTCCAATCCTTGCCTTCAGCCAGGGATGGTCCCTTTCACTCTTTTATCTGTTCCTGGACCCATTTTCCTCCTACTGGATTGCTGCATCCAGTCTAACTATGAAGGGATATGCCTTGTCTTATTGCAACTTAATATGCCATGTTTGGATGATAGCCCTGGGAGTCCTGTCTTTTTCTGAAGGGAAACAGAGGAGAAGTGGATCTGGTAGACAGGGTAGGGTAGAAAAGGAATGTGGAGGAGAGGAGGGATGGTAAACTGTGGTTGGGATGTAATATACAATAGAAAAATAATATATGTTTAAATATATTATGTAAATGTACTTGGGACAAGCTGCCTCACTCCAAGCTACTGGCCCTTCTAAAGTCCATGAAAGAATATAGGTATTTCTACTGCAGGTAAGCTCATGCCTTATGTCTGATAGTGATAGAGCAAAGAAAAAAAGACAGGTGGGGGTATAGGAAGGTATTACAAGAAGGAAAGACATCCCATGTTCCTGAATTAGTTGGCTGACCAACTTTGCAGTACTTTCTCAGACAACCCTGTCAAGAACAGACTCTACAGACATCGTCTTTTCACTGCACAGATCTCTTTAGAAAAACAAACAGAAAATTGCTGTAAGCCACCAAGGATAAATGGGATTAGATACTGGTTCTGTCAGGCTCTCATCTCTGTTGCTTTTATCTACACAAAAGAACTAACTATACACAAGACATCACATTCTCCACATGAGTTTTTAGAAGGAAACCAGTCATTTCACTCCATCTTCAAATCCTGAATGCAAGGGAAATCATGTGTTGTTTTAAGCCAGTACATTTGTTTTAGTTTTATTAAGTAGAAAATGGGAATTCACTTCTCCATTAACAAAGTTATATAGTATAGTTTTCCCACTTTCAGGGAAATACTAGGGGTAGGCATACCCAGAGTACAATAGATAAGCCTCACTCTGGGTAGGGCACCTTACTCAGGGTCAGAATGTCTTCCCTCCTAGGTAATTATAAGCCAGTATGTTTGTGAAAATGTATTCCAGCAGCCAGAGAAATCTAACAAAACCCAACAAAAGATAAACTGCTCTCGTGAAGAAAGAAGTCTTATAGTGATGCTGTTAGCACAAGAGACACAAGCCACAAGGTGGCATCATTCTACAGAGAACCAGAAGGCCACAGAGAGAGGGTAGGAAAAATATGACAGGCACACTGAAGCCTGCCTTCAGGGTAATAGATGCATGTTTTAGCAATGAATTTTCTTGCCACATTCTGGGCTCTCCTGAAAACATTAGCAATACACACATTCAAGTGTGATTCAATATCAGGTCTTTTATGAAGTACCACTACAAATTGGGCATTTCTACTTCTCAGGGCTTGGAAAGAAGACATGGTGGTAAAGAACAAATGCTTCTCTTGGAAGAGATTTATGTTCAGTTCTCAGTACCCGTGTCAAGTGGCTCACAATACCTATAAACCCAGCTCTAGGGGATGCTATACCCTCTTGTGACCTCTACAGGCACAGATCCCTATGTAGTGTTATTTAAACACACACACACACACACACACACGCTTAATCCTGGCTAGATACTGGCATTGGCAGTCTCTGTCTGTTTTTAGGCAGTGCATAGCCCAAGACAGTGACCGTGTGTTTCTCCTAGCCAACGCCTCTCCCACAAACACAGGCTCTGCCTCTCCAGAGCTCCGAGATCACTCTCTTGTCAGCCCACCACAGTGGGTACACTCTAACCATCTCGCAATCTGCTGTGGTTACCTCTTCCCTGGAGCTCGGTCATTTGCCCAATTTTCCCATTCCAAAACTTGGACAAATTCTGTCCCAGCTATGTTCTTTCCCTCCTGCCCACCTGAGTCACGACAAATGGAAAATACCAGATAATCTTAATTTAAAATCAACAGATGATACAACTGCTGGGTGCGCAATCTATTATCCTAAATTCATCAACTATTCTATGATGGAAATCTTCCAGTGCTAGAAGTCGCCACCAGGTCTAACAGTTCCTGGTCTACATCCTGCACCCTCTTGATCTCCACTTCACCATCCTCTCTCAGACCCGGAAAGCCTGTCTCCTCCTCTTCGCCTAGAGCTTGGCTTCTTGTTGTCTTTATTGGCCAATCAATTAATTAGGGCAAATTCCCCTACATCCATACTTAGACACTCATTCATGTACATAATTACAAATAAGACAAATCTTTTCCTGAGCAACACCTGTATAATAACAGCACCAAGAAACTGGTTTTTTAAAAAAGGAAGAAGTTTTACGGGGACATCTCTAGACAAAGAACTACAGACAGGTAAGGACTGGTTAGAGAGGAAGAATTAGTCTAGCCCAGGAATAAGACCCTAATTATTTGTGCTCTATCAGTGGTCAGTCCTGAAATCATGTATATACAAGCAACACTAAATTGACTCAGCAGGTATAGATATATGAAATGTAACAAGGATACTCATAGAAAATGAGGCCAAAATTTCAAAACATATTAGGAGGAGGATATGAGAGGAGCTGGATGGGGAGGATATGGGAGGGGTTGAAAGGAGGATAGAAATGGTGTGGTTACATATTTTTTTATTGGTTATATTCTTTATTTACATTTCAAATGTAATCCCCTTTCCAGGTCTCCCCCTGGAAATTTAAACCATAGGGTTTTTATTTCTCAGACTGTAAGACTAGCTATGGACTTTTCCTATGCTAACTAATCTTACTACCAGCCTATTCCAAAAAGTGGCTGAGGTAGTTTTAAAAACAGAATGGTATACCAAAAACCAAATTTAGTGAGATTATAATTTCAACTGAGGACATTCTTGCTCTTGCTACTCACAGTGTATGCCTGGAACAGGGACTCTTAGATGATCTCATCTCCTTGGGTCCAGAGTGTAAATCTTGAAAATAGGATCACTCCATCTCTAAGATGCTGGCTGTAGAGTTCCTTCTTGAAAGTAGAGATCTGGGTATGGACCAGCTTTGACAAGTGGATCACACAAACTCCATGACCACCTGTTAAACAACAGCTTCATTCTCCCAAACAAGTTGCCAGTCTACTAGAGCCCTGCCCCAAGGTCATATTCTCTGATTGTTCTCACTCATCCATGTATGTTATAATGGTACCTATGTTTTAAGTCCTATATCCTTGAGAATAATTTCTGAGTTTGTGAATGGGTATGAGTGATTGGTTGGGTGTGGGTGTTTGTCACATGTGTGTGGATACCTATGGAGACTAGAAGGAGTGTCAGACCCCCCCGAATATGGGGTTACAGAGGGTTGTGAGGTGCCTGTTCACTGGTACTAGAAACAAAGCTTACTACTCCTCTTTAAGAATAGCAAGAGCTCTAATCCCTATATTCTTAAAGTTCTTTATAACTCTGATGGTAGCTGGCCAATTACTACAGTATGAATGTGGAATACCTACCTAAAACTCATTCACAGATTGTTTTGAAAGGTGTGGAGCCTTCAGGATGTGTGATCTGAATGCCAGATGTAGAAAAGCAAAAATAATCCTCTGAAACTTTTGCCTGCTTCTGGTTCCAGCCTTCATTCTATGGTTCCTTATATTTATGAAACAAAGAGTACCTGCCAGACACTCCCATTCTCATGAACTCCAGCATGCTTTACTCTCCATGATGAGATGAAATCCCACTAGAGCCATGAACCAAAACAAGTCTTTACTTTCTCACTCTGTTCTGCCAAGTGTTCTGTCAAAGTAACAAAAACGGGAATAGTAGGAGAGACTGATACCAAAGGAGGAGAGACATTGTTGTAGTTGAAGATGAGACAGGGCTGTTAGAACTTTGAAACTGTTTTGTAGGATTATTTTGGAAAAGTTTGGTCATACAGTCCAGAGAAACTGCAGAATGATGTGAGCATAAACTTAATAAATAATTTAATTCAGCTGGAAGTTGAAGTGTAAATAGTGTATACTTACTTTCTGTTACTGTGATGAAATGCCATTACCAAAACAACTTAAAGATTGAAGAGTTTCTTTGGGCAAATGCTTACACAGGGAGACTCCATACTGGTGGAGGTGGCATGGTTAGCTAGAATAGGAAGTCATATCTTCAACTCCAAGCATGAAGCAGAAAGAATGAACTAGAAGTAGGTAGTTTTAAAAATGGAATGGTATACCAAAAACCAAATTTAGTGAGATCACAATTTCAACTGAAGAAGTTCTTCCTTGGGTCCAGAGAGTAAATCTTGAAAATAGGATCACTCCATCTCTAAGATGCTGGCTGTAGAGTTCCTTCTTGAAAGTAGAGAGCTAGGTATGGAGTGAAGCTATGAATTCTCAAAGTCCACCCCCAATGATGTACTTCACTCCTGCAAGGCTGCAACACCTCCTTCTAAACTCCTTAAATAGCACCACTAACTGCTGAACAATTGTTCACATACACAAAGCTATGGATGATACACTACCCCAAATACCAGCAAAAGTGCGACCATGAGGATTCAAGTGAGAACAGAGTACTATTGGTAACTGGACCAGAGGCCATTTACATTAGAATCTTGAAAAAAATGGCTACATTCTGACAAGGTCCTAAAAAATAAATCTGTGTGAGACAGAGTTTAAAAGCAATGACTTGTTTACTTTGGTAGACTATGTGAATTGAGTGAAACCCTGAGTAAAGGGGATTGGAAATGTCAAGGACCAATGTCTCAAACCATGAAAGTGGCAAAGCTTTTCCTCCTTGGTGAGTCTCATTGGGATGGCAAAGACTTCCTCTTATCCAAATGTAAATGTTGATAATATGTGCAGAAAATATCTACCATAGTTTTCCTCTTTGGATGTTCATGACCTAAAGACTGACTGCTCCAGTGCAGAGATTGCTTCTATCTGCATTAGCTAAACCTGAATCCTTGTCTGATTGCATGCAATAGCCTATCTCCATGATCAACTGTATCTAATAAACATGCTAGCTTCTAGAGTGCTGTAGCTTCTCCATCAGAAAGCTTAGACCACTCACCTGCAGCTTTTCTGTGTCTGTGTGTCTTCATTTCCTCACCAACCCACTCTTGTGAAAGTCATCATGGGCAGCATGCAAAGCCCAAGCTAATGCAGGGCAGCATAGTATTCAAGTTGTTAATCAACATAGATATTGCTTGAAGCTTTTAGCCAGGTTTGCAGTGAAGATTGAAAGTAAAATGACTTGAAAGACATACGTTTCAACAAAGATTGTTTATTACAAACAACCCAAATATTGATAAAGAATCTCTCATTATTACGGGGATGAGTACTATGAAAGAGAATCTGTGTGTTCTACCCTGGAACAATAGAAAAAGATATGCTGACAGCAAGAATGCTCCCACTAAGGGATCCAGAATCTGGAAGCATATTGCAAAGCCTATCATTTACAACAGATGAACAAATGTGTGAATGACTTGAAACTATTAGACAAGTACTATTCTTGGCTCAACTTCTCAGGCACATCCAAGATGCTTCAGTTATGGTTTCAGGAGGCACAACTACTACTTGAGCTGGCAGCAGAACTCAGCATCATCCACATGGAGCTGTTTATAAGAGTCAGGAAGAATGCAGTATTTATATGACATTGGAGGCTTACACCAAGTGTCTGTAGAAAAACCTCTGAGCCCAGACACCATGTGGCAGAGTGACAGTGTCTACACAGTCTTTCAGTGGACATTTAGAGTAAAGACTAAGCTGTAATGGAAAGCTCAGAATATTGGCAATGACAGAAACTTTAAACATCTGCCAAAGAGAGGTGAAGGCTAAGACTGGGCATCTCAAGAGACAGATTAAAAATGTGCTATGAATGTCAGTATTGTGGAATCAGGGCTGTCCAAACCAATTGAGGCTCACATTAGAATATAGGGTGCTTCAACAACAGACCAGGAAGTGTAGAGTTTGGTACTGAAACTTTAAGAGTTTCAACTTTACTTTGGTCCACTATACCCTATCTGTATTATGAGATATTTGAATGTGATCAATCACTACACACTACCATCTATTGCAAAAATAAAACATTTTTTTATTTTATAGTGGCTCATATCTGCAGATTACTTTGAATCTCAGTAAAAGGCTGAAGTTAGAGACTTTTGAATACTTTGGGGACTGAATAAATCCCTGAAGAATTTTGAGGACTCTCAAAGTTACATTAATAAATATTTTTTGCATTGTGCGATGATCAGTGGTTTAGAGGTCAGAAGGAGAATGCTGTGGTTTACATGTAGAACATCCAAGACAGATTCATGATTTGAATGCTTCTTGCCCAGCCTTTGACCCAATTTTGAGGATGTAGAGTCTTTAGGTAACGCAAGCTGGTGAATAGAAGTAAGTCACTAGAAAGGACTCAAAGACTCGGAGAGGCTCACATGAAAAGCCATTGAGTTTTAATATCAAAGGGGAGGGTAGGTGGCATATCATCAATAACAAACAAAAAATTTAATGTAAGTATAGTACAAAAAAAAACACTAATCCTCCCTTGCATCCAGAGAGCATGGTTAGAGATCCTTCTCAGGGACAGAGAAGAAGGGATGATATCCCAATGGCTTCATAGCATCCCCGTGGTTCCATACGCCAAGAACTCAAATATGTTAAATCCCCTGAGCTATGCAGCTTATAGCATGAACATGTTCTATGATTATTGAACATGTTCTGTGTTCTGAACTTATCGAACATGTTGTGTGTTAGCTACTCCATTTACATTGCTTCTGTTTCACAGAAAAGAAATGAGGCACCCCCATTCATCAAAATGACTGACATATCATTTACATGTCTGCTTGTCTTCTTATGAGTCCATCCAGTTGCCTGTGGCAAATCTGGCCATCATCCAGGGATCCAAAACAATAACAGAAACCCTGGCTTAGTCAGGGTCTCTATTCCTGCACAAACATGGCCAAGAAGCAAGTTGGGGAGGAAAGGATTTATTCAGCTTACACTTCCACATTGCTGTTCATCACCAAAGGAAGTCAGGACTGGAAATCAAGCAAGTCCGGAAGCAGGAGCTGATGCAGGGGCCACGGAGAGATGTTACTTACTGGCTTGCTTCCCCTGGCTTGCTCAGCCTGCTTTCTTATAGAACTCCAGTCTACCAACCCAGGGATGGCACCACCCACAATGGGCCCTCCCACCTTTGATCACTAATTGAGAAAATGCCAAACAGCTGGATCTCATGGAGGTATTTCCTCAAGGGAGGCTCCTTTCTCTGTGAAAACTCCAGCTTGTGTCAAGTTGACACTCAAAATCAGCCAATACAAACTCATTGTACTATCCTCAGAGGTGAGAAACCTAATTGTTGGAGATTGGTACTAATGCCTTGAGTCTGCATGTCCATATGCTGAAAGTCTTTGTCCCCAATTGGGTTTTGGTCTATCAATAAAGATTCCAGCAGCCAGTGGCTAGGCACAGGGAGGGACACTTAAAGTTGCACAGGTAGGAGACAGAGGGCATCGCAGGGAATCAAGAAGAAGGGGATACAGTAATGACAGGAGATAAAGTCACCCAACCGTGTGAGACTTCCAGGAAGTGGCCACTGACCACTTCCCCAATTGGACCTGGGGTAGCAGGGGAAGGTTTAGGAGTGCACAGCATTTGAAGTAACCAAGGCATTTTAGAATTAACTAGTACGCACGCACACACACACGTGTGTGTGTGTGTGTGTGTGTGTGTGTGTGTGCGTGTGTGTTAAATCCACAGATCCAAAGATTCCCTGGATGGGTGCCTGGAAGCATGACCCACCTAGGAAGTCAAAGTCATGCAGCCAAAATCTCCCACAACACCTGATCCTGGAGAAAGTATAGTTACATACAAGGATGTTGGCAACTCATCACTTTTGTGGTCTGGACAATGGTGGGGTGAGACTCTTCGTAACATTGAGAATAGCCTGTGTAATCATCACCTCACACACCTAGAAACACATTTTATTTCAGGTGACTTCCTGTGCTCCCAACATAACTGTGCCCATGAGAATCCATCTCAGGGTAGACAGGGATCTGAGAAAGGAATTCTAATGGAATGTAATTCCATGGGAAAGTCTTGGCATTCAGAGCTCACCCATCCCTGTAGCTCCCCACATATTGCCTCTTGACCTACCTATGTTTCTTGAAAATTCACACTGAAATCATGACAGAAGTCAGCCTACAAATAGCTACTTTGGAGAGTTTAACTGAAAATCATTTTTCAGGATGTATGGAAGCAATGTGAGTGGAGCTGTGACCTTGTGACCACTGTGACCTTGCCCTCAGAAGCAAAAACATGACTGTTTCTTCAGAAGGGATGAGACCCAGGCAGTGTTTTGTCATTGTGAGTGACAGCATGACTGGACAGCATTTATTATGTACAGACCTGGGTAAATCCTCAGAAATATCAAGAGCATATTTTATAAATACAATATAAATTTTCCAATTTAAAAGTAGTATAGAGTGTGACTGGATGTAACACACTGTATTTGTGACATAAGAGAGAACACAAATTTGACTTCTTAAGCAGGAAACCAAGAGTTCTTTGCTTCCACATCTAATTCCAACCTGAATCATGGATGTCTTCAGTATATCCTCTCGCTAAAATACATACCTGAGCAAAGGCCTGAAAACATGCATAGAGGTCTTCCTTGACTCACTCCACTGAAACCCAAAATTTACTGTCACATGTCTTTAATGAAACTGACAAGAGCATTTGCAGCTTTCATGGAGCAGGGGAAAGAGAAAAGCTGACTATCAAACAAATTGATGCATCCATGAAAACCATCTTCCACATGGTACCAGCTCACAGGGATCCCCTGGTCTTCCAAGCGCTTCTTGTAGAGTAAGGCATCATCCCGAAGAACGTCATTCTCATAGGTCAACAGAAATGTCTTAGGAAGCTGAGCAATGATCCTGTCATCTGCTAGGATAGGTGAAATTTCTGCACTCCAAACATGTTTGGTTTCTAGATAAGCAGCCTCATTGAATGGTCCAAGAACCTCAGGTTGTGTATCTTGGCTCCAGAACCTTCTGGGGATGTTCTCATAGCTGAGCCATTTTCTGTACTTCTTCCATTTGACCAGAGGTATAATTGCACCTGTCGACATGGCATCTGTCCAAGAGAGGTCAATGGCCAAGTATTTACACATAAACATAAGCAATATGTCTCTGGTAAGAAATGGCACATTTTTGCTTTGCTGATAGGATGGTAACTGAAAATTGATCAAGTTCAGAATTGGGCAAATCAAGACTTGAGTCTGGATTCTAGGTAGAGTTGGGATGCTAGTTAAGACCTGGGAGACAATGGCCACAGCCCAACCGCCAAGACTGTCACCACAGAGCACCACCTGGGATGAATCTACTCCAAAAATCTCCAGGTTCTTCAGGAAGTAGATAGTAGCATTCAGACAATCATTGACAAGGACAGGATGATGATACTCAGGAAGCTTGCGGTACCTGATGAAAAAGTAACCATAATATGCTTCTTTACAACTGGATCACTAGAGATAATTTCAATCATTATCCTCTACTCTCAAAAAACCCCAAACCTGACTCAATCCTCAGAGTGATCCTAACAAGTAAACAGAACAACCTTCACTTTTCCTACACAAATGTGAGGAGCCATGAGAATCAGGGAAGACAGGATCCTCCATTCTCACCTGCTATGTTTTTCAAGATTGCACTACCAGTACAGAATCCATCAAGTACAAAGATGTTGTCTTAGAAAACTGAGCAACCAGCAATGATCCAGAAAAGGCTACTGGAACTCTCTGTTCCCAGCTCTCCACACACTCGCCTCTCTCTGATGTACTGAGCACAGCGTGAGAATTCTTAAAATCATCACTAAACACACTTTACATTGATTCTAGTATTATTAATAAGACATTTCCCCCTAATGTCTATTTTCCTGTGATTAAGCAAAAGTGTTAGGAGAAGAGGTGATTAGACTTCCTAATTGGGAGCTCTTAGACTCCTCTGTGGGGCTGATTTAAGAAAATGGCTGTTTGTCTAGAAGCCACTTAAGTTTATATCAACACTGGTCATTTAAAGCAACATAGAAACATTGAGGAAGCCACATAATAATTGAGGCCACTTGACTCTAAAACACCTCTAGCACTTGAATTTGCAGTCCTACCCAAACATGTTTCCAACAGTTTGAAACAAGCTATCCTTGCAATATGAGGCTAGAGGGAAAAAATGTGACCTACCTAACAGAAGGACTCCAGCCTGGCCTAAAAGGGACAGTATACCGCTTCTCATAAGCACATGTCTGCTGACACTGGAGGACACCCTCCTTCTGATAAGAGAAACAAGCTATTGTGCTCATTTTGGGGAGCCAGCTGGGAGGCATATTCCTGTGTTGTCTGCCTCCTAGGTTTGTAATATTAGCCCCAACAAGTAGCCTGTCACTATTGGTTGCTTCCTGCCTACCTTTACAGAAAAGACTAAACAGATTACCAGAAAGAAGTGTTGATGGCAGTGTCAGCAGAGGCTGCAGAAGCACAGTAGAGCTGAGTCATGAAATTGGTAGAGCTATAAGGACCACTGACAGTTAGACAATGGTGATGACTGGGCCATGGAATAAACCAGAAGCCTTGAGACCAATTGTAACAGAACCAAGGTGACTGTCCAGTGTCCATGACAGGAACAGATGGTAATCTTCAAAAATAGCAGTAATGGATAACATAAAAGCAGTGCTGACAACAGCAATAAAATAGAACACCAGAGAGACAGTAAGGGGGATAGAGACAGCAGTAACCACAACAGGAGAAACAAACCAGGAGAAATAGAAACTGTAGCTTTAAAGGGCCAAGAATGTTAGACACTCCATGTCAGGAACTGTAAGTAAGGATTTCTAAACCCCTAGACCTACAGAGGAGTTGTACATACTCCCCACTGCCACCAAAGTTGGGACAACTTTCTGATGTCTAAAGTCACTCAGCTCATTCCAAAAATTACCCTGGCATATATAGGCCACCATGTTCAATTCACTCACCCAACCAACAGCACCAATGAGTCTGTCTCATGGGCCAAGAAGCTACCCAGGCCATGGTAAGTGTCTGCAAGAGAATATCCACTGTTAAGCAGTTGTGACAAGAGCCAAACACATTCAACCACTATTCTAGGGACAGCAGCTACCTTTGTGGACCCAGATATGACATCTTATTTCTGAAGTTCATAGAAGAGACATAGGTGACAAGATTAGAAAAGACATGTAGATGTATGGGAAAAGGTGCAAAGTAGTAGTGACAAGCTCTGAAGCATATTTGTAAGGACCCTTTTGGTGGAAAGAGAATACTAAGGCAAAATAGGACAAGCGAAGTCAGCACACTACATCTGGGATTCAGCAATGAAGAGGATAAATATCAATGGACTTTCCCTCACCTTTTGCAAACCAAACTAAGGAAAGTGCATAAATTTTATATAGAGACAGAAAAGACAGAAGTGCCCAGGGCTGTGAAAGGAAAAAAAGAAATGAGTCCAGTGCCAAGACAGCCTCACTCTAGACTTCCACAACTTAGACAGCATTGCTATATAAGCTATGAACCACTGACTGATCAAGCTCTGGACTCCAACTCTCTTTGAGAAACTCCAATGTCCAGTACATTAACTTCTTCCTGACAAGTCCTCATGAGAATATGTGCAGGTCCTCCCTTTCCCAAGGACCTTCCTTCTCACCATGCACAAAGCTCCTTACCCAGGCTTCCAATCATTGCACCTCCTCCATGGTAGAAGATGATGCCTCGCCGGAGTTTAAGAGACACTTCTTTGGGCTTGAACAGCCTCACAGGGACTGTCCCAAAATGAGTGTCAGTAACCAACACATTAGGATCCTTCTTTATCAGCATTAAACCTTGGACAAATTGAAAAAACCTGGGCACCGTACAAATTCTCAGTTTCTCTAGTATGTTTCCCTGTAGGAAGCAAAGAAAAAAGTGAGGCACAGGATGCTGAAACTACTTTACTTACTCAAGTGTGTTCCCCATGTCTCACCTGCCTCATACATGTGCAAAGAAATCATGAGGACATAAATGACTGTGAATTCTTTTCAGAGAGAAGAGAGTGTTCAAATTTTTTTCCCTAAAGGTCCTGAATATTGATGTTGCTGTAATTGAATTGCTGGTCTCCATGAAAACGTGTACTCAAATTCCATTGCCAGCATCAGTGTTAAGAAACAAGCAATTTGCCAGGCAGTGGTGGCTTTCGCCTTTAATCCCAGCACTTGGGAGGCAGAGGCAGGCAGATTTCTGAGTTCCAGGCCAGCCTGGTCTACAGAGTGAGTTCCAGGATAGCCAGGGCTACACAGAGAAACCCTGTCTCAAAAAAAAAAACAAAAGAAAAGAAAAGAAAAAAAGAAAGAATGAAGAGAGAGAGAGAGGGAGA